ACTAGACTAGAGGAAAATGCCCTGGAGCTCAACTCAGCGGGCCTTCTCTCTAATGCTGCCAGCAAAACATGAGCCCAGCTCCCAGCAGAGCAGCTGGATGATATGCATATTTATTGCTTGGCCTTTCAGGCAAAAGGCTATAAAAATACATTGGTGGTGTGGAGATTGGTGCAATGGATTTTGAAATCAAAGCTGCTTCAACCAATTTATTTTATTATTATTTTGGTTTTGGTTTTGGTTTTTTTTTTTTTTTCAGGATTCCTCACGGATTGAAATTAAAATCTGGTGACAAAACAGGGGACCTGAGAGACGTTCACTTCTCTGTATCTCCACAGATGAATCCTGCTGCTTCCAGCTTTTCTTCTTTGTCAAAAAACAAAATCCAGCTGTGTAAGTCTGAAGATCTGATTGGCTTTATTAAGTGATTCATGAAACAGGCAGCATCCCATCTAGCAACTGTAAGGTACTCTGAGGTGTACCTTATAATCTAGGTGAGGGGTTGTACAAAAAGGGAGATTTTTGTGGAAAAAGGGTGTGGTAGGGGAGTGATTAGCAAAAGACAAAAAATTATTTTTAGACCAGGAAACCTTTTGGGGGGCAAGGGATTGGCAAGGGTTTTATCATGCACATTGCCTCTTCTTCCCATTGGTGGTGGTGGTTGGGGGTGGTGCAATTGAGAGGAACCACATGACACATTACATCACTGATGTTGACCAGAAAATTCCAGACTGGTTAATTAAGATTACATTTCTTGTTAAGTTCTAAGCTGCAATTAAGTTAGGTATTAAGTCTAGGTTTTGCACCATGTGCTTTAGCACAAGTGATGCCATTTGGGGCCTGTGGTTGTTTCTTTTTTCACCTTAAAGTCAGGGTGAACCCAAATCGCCTTCTCAGTACTGAAGGATGCACCAACGCAGTTTCATTTCCCTATAGAAACCTCTAGAGGAGAATAGCTGACTGCCTGAAGAAGACAGCCTTCTTTGCAACTATCTAAAAGGAGTCACTGGCTGATATTAACAAGACTTCCTTTCTGCTACCCACATTTAGAGTCATTTCTTTGTGAAATAAATATTAGTGGTTTATTGTTGCTTTGTTCTTTTTTTTGTAATTCAAATTCACATTTTATTGTTTCATAGGTTTTAATAATTATACACAACTTTTAACTTAAGGATAGTGAAATCTCAAAGATAGGGAGGGGATATATATGGCCTCTTCTATTAATTCTTCAGGATGGAAAGCAATTTCCAAATGATACAGTGTGTGAGACAATCTCCATTAAATGGTAGTCTGATTAGAAATTAATGGGATTTTATAATCTAGGTGAGGTCAGCCCATCCTTGTGTTTTGCTAAACCCCATTATTTAGCCTCCTGCTCAGCTCACAGGGGAATTTCTAAACCCCCAAAACCTCCAGCTGGATGGAAACACAAAATGCTCCACCTAAAACCACACTCAGTGGAGCCAATGCTGGCAGATGCTGCCATTTTAAACAATGGTGACCTCCAAACTGGCTTTCCTTCTTTTCATTTCTGCAAAGAATAAGAAGGCCACATGGTCCCAAATCACGTTTCCAAGTAGACCTTCCAAATGGATACGTGGGACATCCAAACACCCTCCAACTGGGATGCGCTTGTCACTCCACACACCATACTTCAGCAAAACCAGACTTCTCACTGTAAATAATGAAGCACACACCTTAATCTGTTCAGCTTTTGAAAACTGAAGGTGAGGCTTTGATTAGCTGAGGTTTGCCTATCCTACTCTATAATGCCAACAGATTGCTGGGCCCGTGGCAGCCTTGAATGTCATGCCATTCCCATCTTGGCTGGAAAGCTGAAAGTGGAATTTTAAGTATGAATTTCCTTGTGTTTAATAGGCTAAAGTCAAAAGAACACGTTCTGCTTTAGAGTTGCATGAAAATTTTTCACTGGAGTTAACTCATGTGTATCTGAGTGTAGTTAACATACCCAAACACCCAGACATTATTAAATAACATTCTTCTGAAAAAATATTTTTAATGTGCGTGTGGGAGGGTGAAACAGCATGTGTAAATTAATCAAACACTCACTCGGGTTGAGGAAACATTTGGTTCTTAAGGGAAAAAGCCATTTAGACAGCCCTGCTCTTCAATTCCATCTTCATACGTACTAACCGCAGAAACCCTCCAAGCTTATCTTGGAGGCCTCATTTTCTTAGACCCATCTGGTAATTTAAGGGGCGGCTGGTGGAGTGGGGTGCACAACAGGCCTGGACCCTGATGAAGCAAGATCAAGTTCCAGCTCTGATAACAGTTATATCAACTTGGGCAAGTCACTCAATCTTTCCCTGTATCTATTCATCTGTAAACTATCGACTTTGGCAAGGTTATTGTGTGAATTCAATAGATAATAGGTGTTAAATTTGTTTTTTCTTTTGATTTAAAATGATTTTACATTATATGCACAAAAAATGTAAACAAACAAAAGCCCAATAATGATGGAGATACTAAGAGGAAACTTATAGTCAAACAACGGTAATTCAAGTGTAAGTTGGTGTAATTCCTTTGGAAAGTAATTGCAATGCATACTGATAAGAATGAGTATTTAAAATTGTCTTCTTTGACTTAATAATTCCAAATATGAGAATTTGTCATAGAAAATACAAAAAAAATAATGAGAAACCTCTGCGTAACAATTTCCTTCATAGCATTTTTTTATCGTGGAAAACAAATAGAAACAACCTAAATTTTAAGCAAATAAGGAAATGTTTAAGCACATTATTACATGCTTAGATGATGCTTAGATTAAAGTCTTAATAATGTTAAATGAATAAAAATGGGTTCAAAATACATATTCTATGTAATCACAGCTTTGTACCAAACACATAAGCATTAAAAAGGATTGGAAGGAAATAGAACAAAATTTTCAACAATAATGGGTAGAAGAAAACCAAAAGATGCTTTGAATAAAAGTGCTGTATGAACTTTTGCCCCTCTTTGCATTCCTAATACCTTATGCATAGATGAAAGTCAGTATATATTAAGTGAATTTTTTAAAGTATTACACCTTAGCTCCTAATTAATTAGAACAGTCTGCTCAACTAACTTTCTAACTAATCGGAACTTTACCTTAATTAGCCCTGAAAAATAGTTTTAAAATATTTTTTTCCAGTGGTTTATTCTTATTTTTCCATCCAACTATCTGTAAGATCATAGACATTCAGGACCTCGCACATTTGGCATTTGGTCAAATAGCAAAAGCTTGGATATAGCCATTGAAAGTCACGAGGCGCAACATCAAAGGGATTTTCCAACATTGCTCCCTGAATACAGCCTGGCCCATGTCATTTGATCCTCAAGAATGCTGAGCAGTGAGCAGCAGTGTGTGATTAATGCCCATGGCAGGGGAGCCAATGTATATGTTTTCCCCAACAGGAGAATAGGCCCAAGCCAAGCTAGCGAGGGGTGGCATACTTTAAGTGTAGACAGCAGTTTTCAGAGAAAACTTATCAGCATACCGCAGTGACTATTACACAAGGAAGGGGATGCAATGAATAAAACCTCATCCATTTACAGACATAGAACAAAGCATCCAAGACAGGCAACTACGTGGACACTTGGTTCTCTAACCCACTAGAAGTAACATTTATTGCCTTCAGATGAAAGCTAACTTAGGGGGTTTTCTTTTGTGATAATATTACAACATACCATTTTGTTTCTAGCGTGTCCCACAGGCCACTCAGTGGCTCACTTGTGAGCACAGCACAGCTTAGCACACAGTGGGGTTGTCCACCCAGGTAACAGAACAGTGTCTGTGTTAGGACAACCCACTGAGGAAATAAATTTTGCAAAGAAGGAACAATATCTCTATGGCAGAAATGTAGTCAGTTCTTGAATTTCAAATAGAAGTGATTTCTCACATCTGAGTTCACTTAAAGAGCAAAAGCCCAAACATGCACCTCAGTTGCAAGGAATTAAAAGCCCCCTCAGGGCTTATGGAATCACAGGTTAGAAATGAAAGGTGGTTTAAAAATCTTCTAAGACTCCACTATGCACAAGATACTTTTTTTATAAATGAGGAGACAGTTCAGAGAGGTTAGAAATTTTTCTGAGATCACACAGCTAGTAAATGGTAGACTCGGGATTCAGAGCCCGGTCTCCTGGCTCTCTGTTGCTCTTGATTTTCTACTACTCACACACCACAGGGCTTGCAAGTTGTCAAACCTCCACCAGTAGTATTCATCAGACATTCAAGAAGTAGTGTAGCATGATCGAAAGTGTTCTGGTGTCAGACTGGGAAGTTTAAATCCTAACTGTCACTTACTAGTGTGTGACCTTGGACAAGTCAACTAATCTCTCTGAACCTTAGGCTCATCTATAAAGCAAGATCATTAACCCAGCCCACAGTGCAGTGGAAAGAATGACATGAGATAACCGCATTTCCAGTGCTGAGCCAGGGTTCTGCCATGCACGGAAACTCAATGGACAGTATCCATTGTTACTATCATACCACTTCCTTGAAGGCAGGCCCAAAGCCCTCAACTTTTCAGCCTTAGCATGGAAAGGCGAGTGTGGTCCAAACACTTCACCCTTCTTCACAAAAACTGTATGGATGTCTTTGTCCTCAGCTGTGCCCAACCCAAAATACATCAAATCCAATCTGGACTATTTAGTGCTTGGCACCATTTTTAATACTAATCTCATCAGTTTTTATTTTCATTTCCAAGTTTACCCAAACAAGCTATTTTTACAGGCTAGTGAATTTAAACCAAAGCTGCCAATAAAATAGACTTATCTTGCAAACACCAGGAGCCTTCTGAAGGAATGTAAATATAAACACACACACATGATACGGGAAAGTTTGAAAGGAGCTTGGTCATCGACTTGGATGTCAATTCAACTCTCAACTTGCCCCGTACTATTTTGGGATATTAAAATCTATATGTGCTTAATATCCCAGCCACCCTGCCATCCATTAAGTTTGAATGTCCTTTATGGAATGAACTTGATCCTCCTGCCTTACTTTTGGTCTCTCTCCAGAGGAGCTAATGCGCTGGCATAGTTCTCCCATTTGTCAGCCAGAAGTCTGGTTACACATTTGCTCGTCAATCTAAACTAACCTATTCTCATACAAGCACTTGGAGTTTCGTGTAAATCAACCAGACGTTCTGTCATTCACCAGCAATATCTCTCTATAGTATTCTACACCCATGTGCCTTCATGAAATATTTCACTAAGTTTGTGGAAGATATATTCAAATGAATGTGCTTTTTCAGGAATGGTGACACCCGAATGTTATAAATCTGTTCATTACCACAACAAGGATAAATGGTATTTCTGCCAAAGACTTTTGATAACCGGTACAGTAATGAATCTCAGCACTTTCTGAAATTAAAGGTCTGCCCTGAGAGGTAAGTAGCATAATGCATGACTAACAAACGCAAACCCAAATTTCGGAGCTAAGTTTTCCTTGTCAGTGTAAACTGATCATTTCCAACAGACATGGACTTAGGAAGTTCATAATGTTATTTATATTCTCTTTATATTAATGTCCAGGTCAAACTGACCCACCATTTAAAAAGGTCAGGCCCTTATTAACTTAGCATGCTTTATTGTGGTTTTTCTTACACTTGAATTCACATAGGTTTTAACAGTTGTACTTCAAAAATCTGATATGGTTTAAGGACAATATGTCATTGGGTTATTAGTTCATCATTCAGTCAAATATTTTAACGTTCAGTTGAATGGTCTCTTAAGCTTTTCAAGATACTTGTTTCTGATTATAGTGATTAATTGTTTAAAAAGTTTTTTTTTAAGTAGGTGGTTTGACTCTAGCCTTCACTAGCTCTTTTGGCATTTTCAAGAGGGATAAAGGAGCTAAGAAATTGGGAAGTCAAACAAGAAGAATAAATATCAGTTCTCATTGATATGTGCATGACATTGGGCCGGTTAACTTCAGTGTTTCTGGATTGTAAAACGGTGTTTACTGTAGAGCTAATTCATGACAACTATGAAGAAAATGAAGAGGCGAAGGCTTCTGATTTAACTATCTACAAAGAGGGCATTTTATTCCTACAGGTGTCTGAAAACGCCTGGTATCACTACTAGTCACTTCAAGCACTGGATGTATGACTATCAGTGCTGTAAAATTTAAAAAATCCAATATCTGTGAAACGTTATTAGTCCAAATAATATGCCTTCTAAAATTAAAGACTCACAGAGAAAGCTATACTGTATTGGCTTTCAAAATGCCCCAAACAGCATATATTGTAGATTCTGGTCAGAGAGTAATGGTTTTGGATTCTGAACAGGCTCAGCAGTTCATAGTTAAAATTTTTTGGTACTGGGTTTCAAACATAAAGTCACTTGGCCATAGTGTGAAGATTAGTATCTATTTAAGTAATATTCTGTGCCTGGTGAAACGCACAAATGCCTTCCTCCTGATCATTCTCTCCTCTCCATTCCTGTTCATTTTCATAGTAGCCTTTTTCCTCTATCTTAATTACTCCCTCTAGTGTTTACTGGAAAAAGTACAGGAACTAAACCTCAATTTTCAAACAAAATATTATTGCAATCTCTCCATATTTTCCCCAGTTACCATACATTAAAGCAAACTTACCGCCAGGTGTTTTGACATGAACTCTTTGACTGCAAGGATTTTTTTTATCTGAGAGCCTCAAATTTAGATTTTTGTATTCCAACGTCAGATCCCACGAGCAGGCGTTGACCTCTACTCTGTCAGGGTTGGATACCTTCTCTGCCTTTGAATTCCTATATTCTATTTGCTTTCACTGTGATATGCAAGAGGGGAACAGATTCGCTAATGAACTAAAGCATGCAAGTGCCATTTCTTTACATTTTTCCCAGGGATGGAACTTATAATTTGATTCTTCTAAGTTACCTAAGAGGTTTGAGGTATTTTGACTCAAAAGAAAGCGATTGATTTTTGTTTTGTTTTTAAATGGCCTTACGGAAACTCTTGGCATGTTTTCTGCCACAGAAGCCCTTAGTCAAACCAGGAAGAGTAACTTCTTGCTAAACTTACTGCTAATGGGCACTTGTTTACAGAGAAGAAAATTGTCAGCTGCCATTGCTCCTACTTTGGAAACCAGCCACAGCTGAGTGTGAGAGCTAACTATAGGCCAAGGTCATCTGGGGATCCATGCAGCGAACTTGCAGTGATGGCGCCCACACCTCACCCGAGCACATGGTCCTGCCAGTCCTGCCAGTGCAACCCAGGGAGCTATTTTCAGCAGGAGTTCTCACAAGGAGGTCCTTGACTGTTCTTCACGCTGCTGGTGTTTGGTTCTGCACTGAACCATTTTAAACCCGAATCTTCTCTACGCACTGACCTCTTCTCTCTTTCACAATATCCTACCTTTTTGAGACCCCCATAGGAGGTTAATAGATGTGTCAAATTATCACATCAAAACTGATCTTTTGCTTAACAACATGAAGCTCACCCCCACACACAGCTCTACCACATCAAATTACTTCAACCCAGCGCCTGAGCAGAAAACCTCAGGCTTATTTAGCTTCCTTCTGAACTCCAGTTATCCACCAACCTCCAGTCATCGCCAGGCCTTGTCCATTCAGATTCCTAAGGCTCTATTGTTGATCCTCTTCCCTTCCACTTCTAGTGTCATTGCATTTCATTCACTTTTGCCTAGACTGCTGTAGTCACTTCCATTAGAATGCATCACTTTTATTTTATTTTATTTTATTTTTAATCCTTCCATGGATCCCATCACCTACAAGGTAAATGTCAGATGCCTTAGTTTGGTAGTCGAGGTTCTTCAAGATCCAGCCACTCCTGCCTCTTTTCCAGGCTCAGCTCTTGTCATTCCCTTCATGGCATCTTCCCATCCCTCCCTTCATCACACAAATATACCCTACATTTTGGCCAAACTAAGTAAGGTATTCTTCTCCAAACCCCTCATGCTCTTCCATGTCTCCAGATCTGCCTAGTGATCTCATCTACTTAGTGTTCTTCTAATTTCTTCCATCAGGATTCAGTGTGAGCATCACTTTTTTGATGGAGCTTTCCCCAACACTCTTCCAAAGCTTCCCACATAGACTATAAACACACATACGGTTAGTCCCACTACCTATGATGCTCTGTAGGCCACTGTTCACTTAGTTCTTATGTCACTACACACACACACACACACACACACACACACACACACACACAGAGAGAGAGAGAGAGAGAGAGAGAGAGAGAGAGAGAGATTTTGGACTCTCTCATTAGCCTGTGAGGCTCTTAATGTAAGAACCTTATATAATTGAATGTTGTGTTCCCTTAGAGCCATAGTTAAATTTAAACAGTAAATAATTCTGTTGTATTAATTTTAAAAAGTAGAAATCTCATAAACAAAGAAGCTAATTAATCCAAGAAAGTATACTTTAATCCAAGTCCTGTTTTAATCGATGCTCTTCACTAAACAGAGCTTGGCTTACCAGATTCCAAGCTGGGTTGTAGTCTAAGGACCCATATCTGCATTTCAGAAAAACAGATGCTTCTGCCAAGAGATGAGCTAGAAAAGTCTTGGGGACCAACAAATTCAGTCAGAGAAAAAGAGTCAGGAGGAAAAATGTGCTGGGGCTGCAGCTTGCTGCCTGATGTGCACAATCCAATTCTGGAAGACTTCAGAACCAAAGCAGCTGTTAGCATTGAGAGAAATACCATGCATGGCTCGTACATATTATATGCCTCTAGGCTGTCTCTTCTCTCGCTTATCTCCTTACACTCTATGTTTGTTCATGCACATTCCCACCTTGGATGTAGGCTTAACCTGGTAACCTTGACTTCAAGCTCAATTACCAGCGCAGTTCCCAGCTATGCCTTTCCAGGTTAGTCATTCCCCCATGCTGCTTTTCCCCAAGACAAACACTTCTTCAAAAGGCTGCCGAGGTTTACTAGTCTATGCTTACCTTGGGTGACATTTGGGAGCCAGTTCATGGCCCGCAGTCTTCTCTGTTCTTCCTCATCATACCAAGTACCAACCCTGCTTCAGTCTGCTCAAGGCTCGGATGCATACTGATCCCTCACCAGCTGTGAAAAACTGACTCCCAGAAAAATATTTGGACTATGAAATGCTTCTTAAATTTGGTTAGCCTCCATATATCTAAACTTCTCTTACTCTTCATCTATACAAGTTCTTCATTTTTTCATTACCTTATTTTTAAAAAAAGTTACTGAACATTTGTGCCACACCTGGGATGGAGGCAGTGAACAAGACAGTCCTTCCCCCCAAAATCTTGCAGTCCAGCTGGTTTTCCATTGTCCCTTGGATCTTACCAATATATAGAAATCTGTCAGTATTCATCAAATGTGATCTTACCTCCCATCCCTCTGGGCCTGTCTGAATTCATATCATTCATCATAGCTCCATTTAAGTCTTCCTATCAATGTCCCATGGTGTCTCCCTCTCACAACAGGCTGGATTCTGAACCAGCTAAAAGAAAATATCTAAGGATGCTGCATAGAGAACCAGTGCTAATCTTAAGGAGGCTTCTACTAGCATCTGTCATACTTATAATTTGTATCAACTAGAGATTTTGATACACACAGAAAGGGCCCGCCTACTCCTTGTGTAAAAACCACAAAGCTGGATGGGTAAGAAAGGTATCCAGCCACAGAATCAAGATGTATTAGTTATCTCTTGCTACATAGCAAATCACGCCAAAATTGAGTGGCTTCAAACAATAACCATTTATTATCGCACAGTTTTATCTGGTTCAGAAATCCAGAAGCAGCTTAGCAGGGTATTTCCAGCAGGGTATCTCATGTAGTTGCATTCAGAATGTGGGTCAGAGCTGCAGTCTCTGAAGGCTTTACTGGTGCTGAAGGATCCGCTTCCAACCTGGCTCACTCACATGGTTGTGGACAGGGGCCCTCAGTTCCTCACCATGTGAGCCTGTCCACAGGCTACATGGGCATCTTCAAGTCATGGCAGCAACCTTCCCCTAGAGAGAGAAATTCACGAGGGAGAAGAAAGCCACAGTATCTTTTATGACCTAGTCTCTGAAGCCATACACTATCATTTCTACTTTATTTTTACTTGTTAGAAACAAGTCACTAGGTCCAGCCTGTGCTCCAAAGAGGGGAATTAGGCTTCACCCCTTTAAGGGAGGAGTTTCAAAAATTTTGTGAACATATTTTAAAATAACCACTGAAGCTTCCAAAGAATCTTGAAGAATCTTGGAGCTGTGGCCGAAATCTAATTCCATGATGCGAAAGATATAATTTTGCAGTAGTCTGAATGAAAATTCTTAGGAGTTATAGTCAACAGAGTTCAATATGGGCCTGCTCCAAAAGCCAACGCGATCCTAGGCTACCTGAAGAACCAGGTGTCGTCTGGGCTAGAAGGTGAGTCATGTCTGTTTCACTGTGTTGGAGTCAGACCACAGTGGAGAGCTGTATTCAGTTGGGAGCACCACATGGAGGGACACACTAGAGCCCATGTGGAGGACAACAAATAGGGTGGTCAAGATATTTGAAATCAGAGCTGACCGAGTGGCGCGTTGGTTAAGAGCTGGCTTGGGACGCCAGCTCTGAGCAGCAGGGCCCCAGTTTGGATCCCACATGAGGGCCAGTAACGCTGCGCCCTCTACAGCTAAGATGGTGAACAACAGCTCGACCTGGAGCTGGCTGCTGTGAGTCGCGGGCAAAGGCGTAGGCTGCAGTCCCTGCTGCAGTGGAGCTGCCATAAGCTACCATGAGTGGCCGGCAGCCAGCGTGAGCAGCCAGCAGCCGGTGTAAGCTACCAAGAGCCGCCGTGAGCGGCCGTCCAGAGGCCGGTGACCGATCAACCTCACCTGGGAAGAGCGCAATGATAATACCAACATGGGCCAGTGAAGCAACGTCTTCCACAACTAGACTGAAGAACAAAAGGACAGCAACTTGTCTGTTCCCCTCCCCTGATTCCCCAATAAAATCTTAAAAAAAAAAAAAAGATATTTGAAATCATGTCCCATAAAAGGTTGTTGAAGGAACAAGAGACCTTTAGGCCAGAGAAGACTTAGGGATGCTTTGGTCATCATAGTCAAGAATGTGAAGGACTTTCTTGTACAGAGATAGACTTGTTCTGTTTCCCTTATGCTGCATCCAGAACCAATGGGTTAAAGTCACAGGGAAAACACTTTGGATCAATGTAAAGAAGGCAGTTCTAAGAGTCAAAGCTGACCTGATATGAAAGCAGCTGTGTTCGAATGTCACCCTTGGTATCAGGCATTCACAGAGGGCTGACTTGAGATATAGGAGGAGGGAGCTGGGATGGTAGCCTTGCAGAGTTCCTGTGATCTCCCCTCACAAGTGCTCTTCCCATGTAGCTGTGTAGTCATCATCGCCTCAGCATGGAGTAAATTGAAAGCAGTAGGCAGAATCTGGTTTTCATTTGGATTGACCAGCATGGCATGATCATTGATTCATTCACATTTCTGTGGTTGGAAATTTGGGTTGGGGTCAGCTGGTTGTTTCTTCTGCAAGTCTCATCTGGGTCAGGTGGCTGGTCTAGGATTAGCCTCACTCATGTCTGGTGGTAAACAGTTTGTCTGTTGGAGCTTTGAGCTTATTTTCATGGTGATCTCATGGATCCAGGGCAGTAGGGGTTGGTACGTCTCAATGTGCCAGCGCTTTTCAAGTCTCTACTTGTATCATGTTTGCTAATATCTCAATGGTCAAAGCAAGTTACATAGTCAAACCTAGAATCAAGAAGTGAAGAAACAGACTTCTTGATGGGGTAGTGGCAGCGGCAGTACACCAGGAAGGAAGGTATTTGTGGACATTGCAATCTACCACAGAAACCTTTTCAACGTTACCTGAATGACACATGGATGTCACTTTGGAGATCCCTTTGCTTTCTTTAATCAAAACCCATGCATTGGTGCATTCCTCTGCATAATTTTGACCAGACCATGATGAGGGTGTCCTCTCTGTCATGGTGAGCCCAGTGATGACATGGAGCAATCACGGCCCAGCAGCCATGTGCAGAGTCTGGACTATCCCTGTGAACAGACAAGGAGAGAAAACCCTTAGCCTTCCCATCCACTTGGGGGAAACAGAAGGACAACACAAACCTAAGGAAATCTAAGGGACAGAAACAGCAACATACCCCATGATATGTTTGGGGAAGAATAGTGTTTTAGAAGAATTTGAAGGTATATTCTGGACCCCATTTTCACTTAGTAATAAAGCAACATGGCACTTAGTAAGCAGCTGCTCCCTTGTGATAACTTTCTCACTGGACGCCTTCCCCACCACTTCCTTGTAACACTTCCAACTGTCTCTTAACACTGAACCCGGCTGCCGGTTGCCATTTGAATCAGCACTTACCCTACCACTGTCTTATAGAAGAGTTGAAGAAGATACCCTTGTGTCTATCAAAAATGTGAAAACTAAAGCTAGACCAGCCGGGCTCTGATTTTGTGGCAGAATGAATATTCTTCTGTATTAAATATACAACAGGTCCTCAAATGACATCCTGTTGTTCCATTATACATCGATGAGACGCCACTGCAATTTAACTGTTGTTCATATCCATTATCCTATGGTAAATTTTGTTTTGTTATATGTCATTTCATTGCAGTTCCAAGAAACCTATCGACTATGTTAAGTGCGGCCTTACTGTACAAGGAAAATATATCTGAGTCAAAAAAAATAATAATAACCCCCCCACCAAAACCAAAAAAACCCATCAAATATACCTGAAGATGCTATTATGAAACAGCTTCATTCCTTCCGTCATTCATTCACATTGCCCACCTGGCCCCAATAGCCATTTGAGTTTTTCACTCTTTGTTTTTGGTTTTTGTTTTTTTTTATAGCTGAGCCATCCTGCCACCTGTTGGCAGCTCAGTGGAGCTCAGCTCGGGCTGGGCATCGAACTGCTGTTGCTCAGAGCTCAAACTCTGGAGCGAGCTCTTAACCAACTAAGCCACTCAGCTGGCCCGAGTTTTTCACTCTTAATGAACAAATACTTTATTTTCCAAGCTAAGCCTTTAATAACTTGTAAGGTTTTTACTTCTCTCTGCACCCTTCTCTTTGTGCAAAATGAAATGAGGGTGGGAGTTGTCAATAACTATTTGGTTGACTAATTGATAGCATGGATCAAGTTTCTGGGAGAGAATAAGTATAAGGAAAAGGGACTCCCCCCTTCCTCATTTAGATAACATTTTGTCAAATGGTCGATTCACATCTAATCATTGTATTTTAAAGCAGGGACAGCTGGAGCTTGCTGCTTGCATCCCGCTCAGCCTTTATTCCTTCAATAAAGGCAGGAAACAGAAGGGTTCTGCACACAGCAGCCACAGACACTCATCAAAGACAAACCACTGGCATGGGAGCTTATCCAGGAAAGCCTGGCTGGCCCAGCGTTGGCTTTTGAGAGCCACGTGCAGACACACACCAAGTAGCACAGGGAGCAGCCTTCTCCCTTCATCCTTTGAGAGCGGGGGGCTGAGGAACAAGGCTCCTTCGGTTTTCTAACAAATGACCTATTTCAGTGAAATAAGAAAAGGAGGGCAGTCATACAGTCAGTCAGTCAGTTAGATGCCAAGTTGTAGCGATGTTAGTATGTCATGCCAGTAATTCTGTCTCGCAGAGTCCTCATGGCTTTTTTCCATTCCTTTTAGCAAGATTGCGGTTGTAAATCAGCAGGAGTGTCCTGGAGGCTGCTTCAGGTTGGATGTCGGGAGCAGTCCAGGGGGAAGAATCTTCAGAATAATTTAGAATATCAGTCTAAGAGGGAAGGTCAATTTTGCTATTTAGAATCCGAACACTATGCCAAATTGGGCTTTGAAGGGATGCTGTAAATGTCAGCCTTGGAATTTGAATTTAGAATATCTCAAAAACACAATAATTCATATTTTCATCCCTATGAGACTTAGTTCAGTTTCTCAGCTTCGACCTCTGACCTCTGAGCATCCTCAAAATTGGGGAGGCCACTTTAATAATAATCCACTTTGGATTGCTAAAACCCCTTTTTACTCATAAGAGCAGTTTCATTTGCAGCACCAAGAGGAAATAGGGAGAGTGTCATTCTGACCAAAAGGACATTGTGGACAGAAGCTGGATTTGCAGGGAGAGTTCAGATCTTGGTCCTATATTTCCGCCCCCCCAAATCCCTTCCTATGTCCCCCTCCCTCCAGCCCCTGGTAACCACTTCTCTACCCTATGTTCCTATGAGTTCAACTTTTTTTTGGATTCCACGTATAAGTGTTACCATACAGTGTTTATCTCCCTCTGTCTGGCTTATTTCACTTAACATAATGCTCTCAAGTTCCATCCACGTTGTTGCCAATGACAGGATAGCCTTCTTTCTCGTGGCTGAATCCAGTGTATGTATGTCCCACGTCTTCTTTATCCATTCATTTGTTAACAGACACCTGGGTTGTTTCTGTATCTTGGCTATTGTGAATAGTGCTGCAGTTTTCATTTCCTTTGGATAGCGACCCGGAAGTGGGATGTCTGGATCATATAGTGGTTCTATTTTTAATATTTTTGGTCCTAACTCTGAATAACAGCAGGACCTTAGGCAAGTACCTTGATGTCTTGGAGCCTTTCCTTCTTTATCTCTAAAATTAAGAGACCGGTTATTCAGAGGAATAAATGAGAAAGAAGTTTGTAAAGTATTAAGAAGTTTGAGTTAGAAACCATGGTACAGGGAGATGAAAAGCCGAAGTCACTCAAGCAGCAGCTGTGGAATCAGGACTAGAACCTGTTTCATGACACATCACTTAGCCCAGCACCAGCTGGCTTGTTAACTGAAAGCATACCTATTTTCTTCTGAGGTCAGCCCCTCTGCACTGAGGACTGCACTGATATGAGAAACAAATTAAGTAGAGCATGGAAGCTTGGATCTAGCCACTTCCCAGGGCCCTGATCTGTCTACAGTGCAACCCCCCTGCCAGATTTACCTAACCTCCAGCAAGTCAAAGACACAAGCAAGGCTCAGTTGGGATTCTTCAGTGGAAAGAATCTAGTGCAGGAATCTGTTATGGCCCCATCGTTGGGAAGCATGAAGGAGAAAGGCACAAGAGGTTTTGGAAGTAATTCATAGAGATGGCAACAATCCTTAGATGTGGAATTCACTGCAACTCTCTGTCTAAAGCTCTCTGCTCTGGCCATGGCCTCGTATCCTCAGCAGATTGGCCTCTTCCTTGGGTGTCTATGAATGCTTTCCCTTCAGTAGGCTCACTGTTGAATTACATCAAGGACACCTCTCCCCTGCCAACCACGATTTCCGCTGCACCATATCTCTAGAGACCTCCCGTACTCTGTGGACTTAAAGAGGAAGAACACAGACCCCTGGGGACAAAAGCCGACCCTCCTCCCATAGAAGCATCATTCTTGAACAATCCCATACTAGCTTCTGTCAAAAGCCACTGGGAAAGACAGAAACACCTCAAATAATGTTTAACTCTGATCACACTGTTTGCTTTAATTATTAACATTCGACAGCCGAAGGTAACAACGTATTCTATCCAGCTACTTGAGAAAGACAAAGGACCAGCTCATACCCCAGCCTTTATAAGATATTTGAGAAATTATTTTGCATGGGCACATACAGCCTTCACACATACCAGCAAACACTCCAAAGTGTGATGACGGCTTCACTCACTCTGCAAATATTTATTGAACTGGCACAGTTCTAGGTGCTGGGAATACACGGGGGAACAAAACAGACCAAAATCCCTGTTCCTGTGGAGCTTAGATTCCAGTGGGAGGTGGCAGATGCAAATATTTAACAATAAACTTAATGAATAAGGAAAGTATAGGGTATGTTAGGAGGTAAGAGAGAAACATAGTAGGGTGAGAAGAATGGGGAGTACTGGGGGTGGGGGGTCCCATTTTACATGGGGTGGTCCACGTCGGCCTCATTAAGAAGGTGACATTTTAGCAAAATCCTAAAGGAAAGGGAGAAGGGAGCCAAGTGGATATCTGGAAAGTGGTGCTATAGACAGATAAATAGCAAGTGTAAGGGTCTTGAGGTAAGAGCATACCTGGGGTGTTGGTGGAACATCTAGAAAGTTTGTATGCCTAGAATAGAGTGATAAGGAGGAAAGTGGAAGAAATGAGGTCATAGAGGAAACAGTGACCAGAGAGGTAGGACCCTATATTTGGATGTATACATTTTGCTTTCCTTTAGAGAGATGGGGCCATCGGAGCCTTGGGGCCAAGGAATGACACAATTTGACTTAGGTTTTAATAGGATCCCACTCTGGCTTCTGTGTGGCGATTTCATTATATGCTCAGATAAGGCCACGGGGATAGGCCCATTTCCACTTCTTTCTTCCAAGATGTTCAGAGTTGGCAGGCTTCCAGGCTAACACATCTGCATATCCCACACTGAAATGAACTCGTCTGTGGCCTATATCATGAGTCCCTGCCCCCCTGCAAAGTCCCATCATCTTCTATCCCAGCATCACATGGAGATGGACAGAGAAAGGAAAGAATCTCTTCTTGCCCTCTGTTTGCAGACTTCCCAATAATTCTGACTCCACCTTGCAAGATCCATTAGAGCTAATTAACGGCCCTCCTTTCAGTAGGTGTCTCTTCATAATGATTAATTCTGGGGCAGAGATAGAAAGCTCATTCCATTATGGTTCTTTTTTAAAAATTATTATTATTCAGGCTTCTACTACTGGCATGAACTGCAGGTGAATTTCTGAAGTCATGTTACTTAGCTGTCACAACTAGTAATAGAAAAATTCAATTTATAAAGAATTAGGAAAGGCAGGAGAGACATGCTCTTCGGTTTGGAACAAAGGAGATCAATCCTGCCACAATGGCAGCATGACATTCATGGACTTTGAAGATTCCAGGCTTCCTTTTCATTAATTAGAGAGAATCAAGAGTTCTGGTGGTTAATTATTTGCAGAAATTGTGCTCTGCAAAAGCAGATGCCAACTCACGCCAGCCGCCTCCAGCTGCAGCTCTGCATGATAATTAAACTGTGTGTCAGTCCTAAGCTTGATCTGGGTTGGCAAATAAACACTCGGATGGC